AAACGTTTCAATTTTTTTCACTTTTAAAAAGGCTCATAATTTCCAGCTGGTCACTCTACCTTTGCCCGTTTCTGAAACATGAGGAAACAGTGCATTTGCTGGGGACTGTTTTCAGCAGCGGATTAATCCACATTTGGTGCTCTAGTAAGTAAATGGGGCAGCAGGATGATGTACGTGGGACTGAGTCAAAATAAACTAGTGTGTGTTTGTGATGATGAAGGAACATGTCACCCAGTGCAACAGTGTGGCTCGCAGGTGTGCTTTTAATAAGGTATTTGAATAAATGAATATCACTATCCTTACACACAGGCATCAATGATGGGTAATGATTTCTCTTTCCACACACACACACACACACACACACACACACACACACACACACACACACACACACACACAATAATAACCTAAACTGAGGTGTGAAATTCTGACCTGCAGCAGCGGGAAAGCCACACCTGCTCCGTACACGTCATCACCATCATCAGCTCCAGATTCGAACACTGCGCGAGACGTTACCGCGACGACCACTGCACGATCAGCATCTTTCTGCAGAGGAGACACAGAACCTGCATCTTCATCTGCACTTAAAATCAGACAGGACACAGAACAACAGAACCAGCAGACAATTCATACAGAACCTTTAAGGAATCCCCCAAAGGCCAACATGAACACTACTCACAGAACCACTGAAATACCAGACTTTGAAGTGAAACCTGACCTTTGACCTCATAAACACATTTTTAAGGTATCGTTAGGACTTTTGAAATGGCGTTGTAAGGGGTACTTATTAATAGACAGTATGTTAGCCGGCCCCCAGTATGGAGAAGCGGGGCAGGAGTCTGACATGGAAGCTAAACACATAATTTAGCCATCTAAAAAATAATATCAGTTTAAGTAACTCCATATCTGGAATATTTTCACTGCTTTATCTTGATGTCAGACAATGATTTCCAACAGGAAAATGAAGCTGTTTTATTGCTCTTTTCTAAGCCAGACTCCATTGAGAAAAACAGTGATTTAACATCCCTGAACAAAGGAGCTGCTGGTCTACCACTGCCTCAAACTGACATACTGTTTGTTTAAATGTGTGATTTTGGCATTTAAAAGGGTTAGATTGGTCTCGCCAAAGTCACACAATAGCACTAACTAACTAACTGACCAAGGCAGTGGTAGACCAGCAGCTCCCGTCTTCAGCAAGCTCAAAACAACTGCTCACTGGAGTCTGGTGGTTTGACAAGAGCATAGATGGAAAGATGAAGCCATTAACGACTTCCCCGTTGATGTGGGCTGTCTGACAGAAATGTAAAGTGGTGAGTAGTACATTGCTTAGCTCCTGTGTCAGACTGCAGCCTGCTTCTCTAGACTGGGAGTGTGCCGACTGACATCTACTGTATGTAACACACTGACTATGATAAGCACCTTATAAAACCCCACTTCAAAAAATCTGAACTATCCCTTTACTTAAAGTATTCTGCTATTTGTAAACAGGTTACTGTATGTCAGAACACACCATGCTATAGTACATTTTCTCACTGTCTTAAAGAGTAGCTTTGTTTCTTCTGTGCAGTGTCTCCCACCCTCACATTCTTAGGGCCAAATCCCTATTACAAAATATACAATTTTAGCCTTGCGTCACTATCTGGTAACGGTATGCAACAGTTAAAGAATTACTTATGCTGTATTTTAAACTAGTGCGTCCCACTCATGAATTCGGTGCTCATTACATACACCTTAGTGCCATTTTTCATTTAAATTTAACTTCTAAAATACTCCTCATGTTCTCCCACAATGACAGGACGTTTGCAGGATTAAAGGGTGTAAACGTTAGTGCAATGCTGGGCTGCATGGTGAATTATTTATGAGCTGAATTTGCCAGAAGAAAATGACATATCGAGTGATGAGATTTACACAGTGTTGAACTGAAAATGAGGAAGATGAGATTAAAACACCTCAAAATGTGAATGCAATCTGGCGGGAGACTCCGAGAGATGTCACAACACACAGTGTGATATTATTAATATTTGGTCAAGCTGGATGGGAGTGGTTCTGCAGGTGTGTGATCTCACCTGTCTCACGGTCTGTTTAGATGAGACAGTTCTAGACAACCCGCCTCAGGTGAGTCTTACCTGCTTCACGTCCGTGTTCTGGATCGTGGAGACCATGTCCGCCTCTCAGCTGAAACCCTGCCGGTTGTAACGAGCCTCAGCAGGTGTATCTACCGACCTGTCCACCTGTCACCACACCGTACCTACCACTGAACTGGACGCGCTGTCAAACTTTCAAAGTTCCTCCAGAAACACACAACTGTCGGTTCAGGTTCCGCCTCCGACGTTCGCTTTAAGAGCGCAGCGTGATGACGTCACTTCCTTGTTTGTCTGCCGCTGCCCACCCCGCCCACAGCTGTGATTATTGTGTCAGATAGTGAAACGCGGTCCGGGTTTTGTCCACTAAATCGTCCACATTTGGACTAACTGTTTGGGACGGAGACTGGGAGGGTGGTCTGGAGCTGGTCTGAGAGGAGCCCGGTCCGGTTTGGAGCGGGTGTAACCCGGGTTGGAGCGGGTTTTGTTGCCGGTCTGGACCGTTGGGGAAACGAGAAGGAGGGAAAGTTTGCTTCAGCTTCGGTTAACGGTGAGAAAACATCCATCTGTTCCCTCTTTTATTCCGTCCTCACTTTTTGCCCTCTTCATCCCGGTCCCCTGAGGTGTCCGGGTGTGTCCAACGTGGACCCCGCGGACCGGTCGGGTTCCTGTTGAGGCTCCTGGAGGTCCGCAGGTAGACTGCAGGTGATTGGGTGTCACCGGTGTCGTGTTGAAGGCTGTGTCCCCGCAGATATGTGTTTAATCTCCACTGAAAACTGACCCAGACCCTCAGTCCAACTCTGTCAGTCAGTGTTGGTCAGTAAAGTGTCAGCTACATTGAATCTACAGATATTATTTTTTATTTCTATTTTAAGGCTGCTGTCAGCCCTAGAGTGGTCTCCTCTGGTCTGAATCAGGGACTCATGTTGTTCCAAAGTTGTATAATTGCCTAGAGTTGGTTCGTGTTCTCACGGCAGCATTTACAAGAGGACCAGATCAAATGCCTTGTGTGAGAAAGCTGCTCTTGATTGGTCAGAATTTCCATGTGGGAAAAATCCAGGAAGTAAAGCAAACGTTGAAGAAGAGTACACTTGCAAGATAAATGTGACACTTTCTAATGTCACAATGGAGGGACAACTACGCAGGTTGATTTTAGCGCTGCTCATCGTGGACTATATTGCTGTCATTGTTCATTTTAGTCAAAGCATACAGTTTGAAAACGAGGCGCGGCTCCAACTAGAAAACAATGTTTTGATGCATTGGATGTGCTGAATGTGCATATTAAGGCAGTACAGGAGGAGGTGCACATTAATAATCCTCCAGGACTGTAACATGCTCATGTTTAACCCAAACAATGTGTCATGTGACTGCAGTTGCTTCACATCCAGGTCAGAACACCTTCTCACCACAAATCAACCGCACCAGAGTTCCTTTGTATCCAGACTGAGACCACCTCTTCAAGAAGGTCTCAGTCTGGTTGTTTTGTTGTGTTCACACCTGAGTGTGATTGCTGTGTTCACACCTGCCCAAATGAACCGCACTGAGGGGCCAAATGAACTTGAGTTTGATTGAACTGAACCAAACAGGGCAGGTGTGAAAGCAGCCTAAAACTTACCTCTGATGTTTAAAAGTTGAAGACAAAATGGTTTTTCACTCTTGTCGTACTGGTTATGCAAATGGTTTATTTTTGGCCAAATTTTAAATGAGACATAGAATAAAATGAATTTGATGAAATGTCATTATTTCAAGCTCAGATTTGATTTTTTTTCTGATAAAAGCATTCATTACACATAACTTGTCCAAGGACTGTTGGAAATTTTAAAATACAATGATAAATTCTGTTTCTGTTACAGTGTCTGCCTGTGGTAAATGGTGTGATTTGGCGATATTTAAAGAAAACATGCACATTTTCTTTAAAAAGGTAGTGTTTTTTTTTTTTGTTTGTTTTTTTTTTAATTTTCTTTAAAGAAAATTTAAATTTTCTTAAAAAATTAGCAGTAAAATAATAAGCCAAAATAAAAAACACAAGTCCCGTCCCAGTGCTTAAAAAAGTATTTAACATGCCTCCCCTTTTTTGCACCAACCCTCACAAGTAACGAACAGTTCCTAACTCTAACCCTGTCAGTCAAGTTTGGTCAGTCCTTCAATCAGCAGTCTGTAAGCAGTGGTTGAAAATCCTTCTAATGTGAAACTGCTTTATTTAGTGTTTTTTTTACTGGTTTAAATCACCTGGTCTGTTTGTTTTGGAGAGGAGGAGACCTCCTGAACACTGAACACTGAAGGAATCCTGGTTGCAGTCTGCAGTCCTCTCTGCTAGATGCCTCTAAATCCCCCTAAATCCTACACACTGGACCTTTAAGCTAAATTAACTCTTTAAAAACCTTCTCGGATCAGCTGGAAAATGCATCATCACAACGACAGGACAGCCACACTACAGACATCTTATAATCTTATAGACCATGATGCATTGCTGTAGATTAAACTCCCCAACAGGATATAAAGGAGTTCAAATGAGCTCAACCTGAAACATGTACAGCAGTAAAATGACACATACACATTAATGCAGCAGGAATATTAATCCAAAAACATCAGATAGAATAAAACACTGACAGCAGGGAACACTTTACTGCACTATCAGTACTTTTACTTTTCATACTTTAAGTACAGTCAACAGATGATTCTCACACACTTTGACTTAAGTAAGACTTTGAATGCAGGACTGATAAGAGTATGTTTACTCAAGTTCTTCTACCACAGTCATGTTTACGTAAAAGTCAGTCAGCTGTCAGTCAACAATCAGCCTGTATCAGCCACCTTAAAATCACTCAGCTCTGTCAGTAAATACTCAGTTGACATGTTAGCAGTCAGTCAGTGAGTGTGTCAGTCTCAGCTGGACAGACAGTGCTGCAGGGTGATACAGGTAAAGAATGAGATGGTAATCATCAGAGGCACCATCCTACCAGTCAGTCTTTGTCCGTCTGTCAGTGGTGTGTGATCAAAGTAGTTTATTCAGTCACACCTACAGGTACAGGCAGTGCAGGAGTTGTGGAACGTTATCGGACTGTAACCATTAGAGGCAGTCGGACCAGTAAGACAGCTCACTGATCCTCAGCCTGAACACACAGTCTTACACAGGCTGAAGCCAGCAGCTGGCTAGCTTAGCTTAGCGTGAAGACTGGACATGAGGGGAGGCTACGCAGACTCCTACATATGTAATGGAGAGCCTTTCCCTGTCAGTGTTTCACTACTTTATCTGATGTCTTTGGATTAATATTATTGCTGTATTCATTTGTACGTTGCATTTTACAGCTGTAGATGTTTCAGGATTCCAACGGTCATGAAATTCCTGGAAAAATTATGAAATCAGAAAAACTGTTTCCCAGGTCTAAACATGGTTTGGAATGAACAGAATGTTTTGAATACACATTGGTTTGGCAAATATTTACAATATGAAAATTTATCACGCTGTCATGTGCGCTCAGGTTCAGACAAGGTCACAAAACAACCATTAGACATGTCAATAAAACAAACATTTTTTTAACAGGAATTAAATGTATACAAGCTTGTCCAAACTTTAATCCCAACACGTGTAAGATTGCATTGACATCTACACAACACTTAGTGAAGGCACTCCACTCAAAGTCATATAACTGGACCTGCACTTGTACAGCACCTTTCTAGTTTCTTAACCACTTGAAGCCCTTTCACACTACGAATCATATTCACCCACTCACACACACATTTATACACTGATGACTGAGGCAACTGCAGAAGGTTCAAACACACTCACACACTGATGGAGACAGCCATCAGGAGCAATGTGGGATTCAGTATCTTGACCAAGGATTCTTCGTCATGCAGACAGGAGGAGCTGTGGATCAAACTGCTGATTTCCTGATTAGTGGACGACCTGCTCCACCTCCTGAGCCACAGTATTAGTTTTCTTATTCTAATATGTGGGCATGTGTCAGGGGTAAGATTTAAGAAATTAAGAATAGGTATGACAAAGGAAGGCAGTGAAGGCAGTTGACTCAAAGTCATGTAGACATCTCAGCCTCGATAAACATCTGCACCAATGCCTCCTTATTATACTGACAATTTTTACTAAATGGACAAAGACTTAAGTCATTTCCCGTATATATTTTCATTTTATTTTAGTTGTTTTCAGCTTTGTGACGCCGACTTTTCAGCTGATCCAAGAGGGTTTTTAACAAGTTTATTTAGCTTCAGAAGGAGGAGAATTTTCTCAGCTCATAAAGGAACACTTCATCCTTCAGTTTATCACAAACATTCAACATCAACACATCTGGAGATACATGGTTTTCACTGGACAGGAAGGAGCTAAAGCTGTCAGACTAATGTAGTGCAGTAAAAAGTACAATATTGACCTCTGAGATGTAGTGGAGGAGAAGTATAAAGATGCAAAAGATAGAAATAATCAAAGTATTGTACCTTAAATTTGTACTTAAATACGGGACTTGAGTAAATGTGCTTATTGTCCCTGTTTGAGAGCGGATGCTGAAACATTTCCTCCTCCCTGAACAAACAGCATGATGATGGGACAGTGGAGCTTCTGATTGGCACCGCCTGCTGTTTGTATGAGTCTTTCTGGGAGTGGTGTTGAGTGTGGACTCTCCCTGTGTAAATAAAGCTTTAAGATCATTTGAAGGAGCCTCACATTCAGGTCAGTCATGAGATTCATTAGAAGCAGAAGTTTTTGTCTTGTTTCTGTTTCAGTTTCAGGCTCAGTTCTGCTGTTGGTTAATGTGTCGAATTATCTCACAAGATGTGAAAGAACAGAAACTTTAACGTGTTTTAGAAATTAAAACTGATTTTGATTCTTTTCAGTGAAATTCTTGTAACTTTACATCAGATGAATATTATTGTTGCAAGTATGTCTTTGTGTATCCTAAAAAACTTAGAGATTGCATAGCTCTAGGGATGGGTCAGTTTGTCTGTTCATTACTTTAAGACTGAAATATCTTAACAGATGTCGGAGGGATTGTCATACAGTTTTCTACAGACATTCATGACGTTCATAAGGGATGAAGCCTAATGACTGGTAATTCCCTGACTTTTTTCTCTAGCGCCACCAGCAGGTCAGAGTTTCACATACAGTGAAATAACTTGACAACCACCGAATGGATTGGCATCATACCGAAGTCATACTGTTACCCACGGCAACAACAAGCATGGCTGAAAGCTAAATTATTAGCGACTCCTTGGTGGTTCCAAAAAGAGGAGCAGCTTCAGTAGTGTGGAATAAACTGTGGCGTCCTGAATGTTTTACTTCTCTTAACGCTCAGAGGGAACTCATCCAGCGGCTCCTCTGGCAGCAGCACAGCGTCTCTCCCTCTCCTCTCTGATTCTGTCATAAACCTTTGGTGATGTCAACCTGAGTGAAAAAACTCCATATATGTGAATGTGTGATAGTTGTGGTATCATAACAGCCTGTCACAGGTTACAGCCTGATGATTAGAGGAAAAATGGCAGAGCATAAAGGTCCAGGTGGGAAAAAAAACCCAACTCAGTCATTTAGGATTTTAGGGAGCTGTTTAAATGTGTAATTAATGGCAAATTTTATTTAGTTGAACTATTAATATTGTAACAGAATCTGAATCTCACTCTGAGTTACTGTTGTTCACAAACTAAAGAAATGAGAGATCATTTTTCTTTAGTTTTTACTGAAAATTGAAGCAAACTGTAAAATTCTCACTTATCACTTATTTTCTTTTCTTAAAATAATAATAACTGTTTTTTTTTTTACTAATTTGTCATATTCATGTTCCTCTCAGGATGAATTGAATAAAATTTAAGGGACTGTGATCCCTTAAAATTTAATCTAATGCCATGATCAGGTAAATTTATCCAACCCCTTGTTTATGCCAAAATACCTGCAAAAAGTAAGTCCTCAGTTGCACTTTGTGTTTAGCACTAATTAACAAATGTTAACATGCTAACATGCTAAGCTAAGACGGAAAACATGGTAAACATTATACCTTCTAAACATCAGCGTGTTAGTGTCGTCATCGTTGTTTGTTTTGATCATAAACCAAAGTATTGGATGATTACAATTGGGATGATGGAGGTCTTAAATGGAAAGTCAGGAGAACAGAGTTACCACAGTGCATCCTCTGGGGGCTGAGAATGTGTGAACCAAATTTCATGTCAACAACCCATGACATTAAACATAGAAATACAGTGCCAACCTCATGGTTGTACTAGAGGAAAAGTCAGGATCACTGACATCATCAGGATACAGCTTCTGGAAACAGTAAATATCTGAACAAGATTTCATGGTGATCCATTCCATCCAATAATTAGAGACGTTTCAGCCTGGACCAAAGCGGTGGACCGCCCGACTGACATTGCCGTCTTCAGAGCCACAATCTGATGATCACCATGGCGGGATTATGATTGAACGCCTCTAAGTCAGAATCCCGCCTAGATGAAATGATACTATAGCACCACAGATCTTCGGTTGGCACCGGATTACCGGCCTTGGTCGGTGAGCAGAGCCGTTTGTGACAGGGCTGGGGTGCGGCAGGATGATGTCAGCTATCACTTTACTGAAATCAAGTTATTTTTGAATGTTTTGCGGATCATTTCTCAGTGTTCTTTTCTTCTTCAAGTCCCTGCAGTGGCGGCAGTCATGTTCAGGTAGAGACCGGCTCCACGGCGCCCACCATGCGGAAGCACCTGGAGAGGATCCGTTTCCGGGGCCAGAGACGGGAAGAGTTCCTGGATCTGGCCGATTCGCCCAACACGTCCGACACAGAATGCACTGACGAGGTCGTGATCAAACCTCGCCTCACCACCAGAGATTCGGAGGAGCTGAGGGAGGCGGAGGGAGAGCAGCAGAGTGACGCTTCGGTACACAAACACACCTGAGAAATACACCAGCCAGGGATTTAAAAAGAAACATGTTTTGATCCTGATCTTTAAAATCAACAAAATTCTATTGTAAATGCTGATTTGACAGAGCCAGAACTCTGGTAGGATTTCAACAGATTATTTTCTTTTCTTTCTTTTGTGATCACTTTTTTCTGTTCCAATAATTGTAATCAATAATTGGCTTCAAGCTGCAGGTTTGTTACAAACCTGCTTATTGTCTGAAGACTTGTGTTGCTGTAGGAATCTGTTGTGAATGATACATGAATACAAAAATACTCCTTTACAACTCCTGCATTTAAAATCCTTAAAATGAAAAGTAATTATGTTCTCAAAGGAAAACTTTGTCAACGTCTGTTTTATGTAATGAGATAAAGTTTTCATTCTGTTTATCGTACGGCCGCCCCCCAATAATACATTCACTATAATCTCTCCTTCAAAGACCGTCCATTGACTATCTAACAGATACAGCCGATTACCTAACATGTTATATACTAGACTGCAACAGGTATGCTCCTCTGATGTAATCAAGAGCACATAATTAAATCAGAAAAGCCCAAGAAAGCTACAATTGATTTCTCATCATCTTGTCGTCTGAGTGTAGGTATAAAGATGCCCTGTATTCACTGTTCTGGGCACAAACTCTGAGCTCTGAGTCTGAGGTTGCGCCTTCTCTATAGAGAATAAACAGTCATGCATGAAGCTATTCAGTCTTGTTTGCTGACTCGAAGCAGATCGGCTAAAAATTGCCATGACATATTCTTTCTCACACCTTCACCTTAAACCACTGTGTTGCCCCGCCCAAAAAATATAATTTAATACTTAAATTATTATCACAAACGTGGGGGCCACCGGTTGACTAATGGCCCTAAATGACCACTGTTGGTCGAAAATTCTTAGCCGGGAGCAGCCCCAGTTCATCTCACTTCAGTCATTTTTATTGAACTGAAAAGAGCAATTGAATTTATTATTCTAGTAGGCTACCAAAAGTTTTTAATATTAATAATTTATATATTAAAAAAATCAATACATCCGTGCATTGATGCAATATTGTCACAAAAAACATTGCGATAGCATGCTGTACTGATTTTATCCCCACCCCTTGTAATAGTACATGGTCTTCTTCTTCTTCTTCCACTTCTTCTTTTTCTTCTTCTTCTTCTTCTTCTTCTTCCTTTTCCTCTCATTCTTCGTCATCTGCTAGTTAGATTCATAATGTTAACATGTTAACTTATCTGTTTAAGTAAAGGTTAATTGCATTGTGGAGTGTAAATAGAGGAGGACCCAGGATTGAACCCTGTGGCACCCCAAATAAGAAAAGTGTCTAACTGATTTTATTTCACTGTTGTTGTATAATCTCTTCTCTGTTGTCTGGTTATTTCATATGTCTGTCCATGTTTTTGTGTCTCAGGCTGGTCCAGGATCATTTTCTGCAGCTATCCAAGATGACCCAAGGACAGACCTTAATGAGGTCAAAGGTCACCTAGAAATCGCCTTGTTAGAGAAACACTTCTTACGTGAGTATTGTGACCTGAACTGCACTCGGTGTGGGTGTTTTGTTTGGTGAAACTTTAAATGAAAAACATGACTCTAAGAAGAGAAATATTATTTATTATTTATTTTAAGACTGAAATCTGTGAATCCTATCTTCATGTTTCTGTAATTCAGTTTTTTCTGTGAGATTTTATTCTGGAAAAACAACCACCCAGTCAGACCCAGAGTCAGAGTGTTTCAGACAGATTGAAGCTAGGAAGGGGATCTTTAGTTAAGATAATTTCGTCAGGCTATTGTCCTTAACTTTCACGTTCAAGCAAAAAAAGTAGTAAAAAGTAAAGTTTCCCTTAAAATCTGTGTCAGAAACAGTTGCGTGTTGATTGGCCGCTGTGTCTTTGTGGCTTCCCACATCAGTTTGGAGTCAAACGTCCCACAGCACAGCAGCATGCTGGGTAATCCATCAATATCTGCCCATCAGCTTTATGTAACACACACAGCTATTAATAACCCAGCTGACCTCATCTGACAAAGACACTCACAGACACAGAGGTGAATGAGGACCTCATTTTTCCTTCAGTACAAGTATTAATAATATTTATAGGGATTAAACAAGAGTCACAAATTAAATTTACAACTCAACTCAAAATAAGTTTTGAAATAATTTTAAATTTTAAAGGTTCTGCAGCCAGTTTTCTGCCTTCACTCGTTTGTCTGAATATTACAATAATTTTTGGTTGCTTTAATTGTCCCTCCTCCCGAAACTGACCATAAAGATATCACTATATAGTGTAATTCCAGTGTAAGAGACAGGGGACAAACTCCTCGGTGAAACTACCTCCCACACTCTGCATCAGACAGGCTGCCGCTATCCACCAACTGTAATCCCATCACACGGCTGAACAGAGACAGGTTGCAGCTAAAAATAGTAATCAAAGTCATTTTTTGGAAATTAAGTCATTTTGGGAAAGTGAAATCAAAAATAAAATAATAACAGCTTAACCTAATACAGTGATGAGAACAAACGGATTTGATTGAACAAAAGCTCAAAATGAAAATCTGCTCTTTGGAGACAAATTAATAAAGACAGACAAAATAAACTATGTTGTCCTTCATAACTATCCAGTCTTGAATGTTCCTCGTGTTGACTTTTGTTTCTAAGGTCCTCTGTGAAGAAATGACAGCTTAAAATCTGCTCTTTAGAGACAGATTGTTAAAAGTGTGACAGCACTGCTCAGAGGTACTGCGATTGTTTCTGATTATGTGACCGTCGTCATCTGTTTCAGAGGAGGAGCTGAGGAAACTTAAAGAGGAGTCCAACATGGATTCACTGAGACAGGAGCTGGAGAGGGAGCGCAGCAGGTGCCTCGAGCTGGAGCAGAAGATCAACGACGTCCTGAAACCCAGGTGGTTATTAAAAAAAAAAAAAAAACTTTAGTAAAGAAGCTGGTTTGAGACATCAGACAGAGCAGCTTGTTCCTGATTGTTTCTGTCACTTCACAGACCTGAAGACTCACCTTCTCAGACACCTAAAGCCCCAACCCCTCCTCCACCTGCAGTCGCCAGTACAGGTGAGCTTTTCCTTTAAACACTAAAGCCCCGTTGGCACCAAACCCTTTCAGTCCAGCACCTTTGGAACCAGCAGTAAGCCTTCAGACATGGTACCTAGACCCTCGGTCTGTTCAGACAGTCCTCTTAAATGTGGGCGGGGTTGTTGTCACTCACTGCTCCGTCCAGCACTCGCTGTATTTCCTCATCAGCGGTGACACAGATGGAAGTCTGCACCTGGTTTATCGTCCACAGAACGAGGCTGCACGCCCACATTTTCACAACAAAATAGAACAGGCTGCAGTGAGAGTCTCTCTCCATGGGATATTTAAAAATAGCAGCTTTGTGCATTTAGTCCTTCTCAGGCAAGCTCAGGGGTTTAGTGTTGCTGTAGCCCACAGGAAGTGAGGATTAGAATATATGACCTTCACATAATCCGCTCCAAATTAATCTATATTTTTAAAGTCATTACTAAAAGTGTGTGTCATATAAAAACTAAAGTGATGGTCAAAGTTGTCACAGTGAAATTTAAGGTGTGCTGATGGATTCACTTCATCAACTCATGCATTGAGTAACATTACAAGTTAACGTTCCACCTTAAAAGTTGCCGGCAGTCAGAGCAGTGAATGAAGTTATTTTTTCTCAGACTCCAGCTGCTGTGAGAGGCAGCAAAACATCCTTTCATTTTATAGTTACAGTTTACTAATAAAACTCTCCACAGTATGAACAGTGGTTACATGAGCCTCAAAACCAGACACAACTCAGCCCTGAGCAGAGTGACCGTCCTCTACTGACCAATCAGACTGCAGTGTTCACAGCTCCACCTTTTAGTACCAGATCTGTGTGCTAGGTACCCCAACAGAGGGGGGACCAAACATGGGGACGCTAAGGAACGCTTCTGTTGGTACCATCCACAACTTTTCACTTTCGCTTTCAAAAAAAGCATATCGAACTGAAGTGAATTAAACCTCACTGCAGGGGGGCTGGAGCCTATCCCAGCGGACACTGGGCGAGAGGCAGGGTTCACCCTGGACAGGTCACCAGACTATCACAGGGCTGACACATAGAGACAGACAACCATTCACACTCACATTCACACCTACAGACAATTTAGAGTCACCAGTTAACTTGCATGTCTCTGGACTGTGGGAGGAAGCTGGAGCACCTGGAGGAAACTCTGCACAGAAGGACTGTCCCCACCCTGGGGTTCAAACCCCCCACCTCAGGTTTGACCCAGGAACCCTCTTGCGGTAAAATGTTAACAAACATGTCGGACTCTTCTCTTCTCCTGTTCTCAGACAAACAGAAGGACACTTTGTTTGACAGCTTCCTGAAGTGGCTTTATGATCGTTTTGGTGTTTATATCGAGGACTTCCGCTTCCAACCGGAGGAGCAGACGGTTGAGACGGAGGAGCCGCTGAGTGCCAAGAGGTGAGGAGGAACACACAGCAGAGAGACATGATTACTGCCATATTGACTTAAAGCAGCTTTAACACACTGTCTGTTTTTTTATTGATCCTAAATCTGAAATAAATATCTGGTTTCTGATCCACAGGTTGACTGAAAACATGAGACGACTCAGTGAGTATTTCTTTCTGGTGTGGGGGTCTCTGCCAACACAACACATCAGATTCAGACCCAAAATTACAGGGGTGTCCACTTACTTTTGGCCACATTCTGCACGTTAGATGCTTTATTTAACAGTTTATTTCAAACAACTCAGTAGACACCGAGCTCAGGTTTCTCTGTCATGATAAATTCTCAGTCTGTGATTGGAGAGTTGGTCTGTTGTTGTGTTTCCAGAACGAGGATTCAAACCTGTGACCAACTTTAAGAGGAACCTTTCTGCCTTATCCAGCTGGTACTCCGTCTACACGTCGGCCATCGCCTTCATTGTGAGCACACACACACACACACACACACACACACACACACACAATCAACAGGTTACTGATGATGGATGTAAAAAAAGAAATGGATGACATCACGGTGACACCTTAACACGTCTATCTGTTCGTGTCCATTCACGTTTCTACTATCACTATAAAGACACTGCCTCAAATGTCAACTTCTCTGCACAGATCTACATGTATGCAACATGGCACGGCTGGGCCGTCCCCATGTTCCTGTTCCTCGCCATCCTCCGCCTCTCCTTAAATTACCTCATCGCCAGGTCAGTGCAAGCCCCTCCCCTCCCCCTCTCTGTCGACCAATTGCACGTCCAGAATCAGAAACCGTACGCTAGGTTCAGTGCAGGTTCTTTGATATCACACATCACACACGTTAGATCTTTGCTCTCCTCACATTGACATGCATCTTGTGGTTAATCACATTTCCATGTCATTGAGGGACTGATACATCTGAGATCAGACATTTTGACTCTTCAGAGCAGCAGCGCACAGTGAAACAGATTAATGAGTCCAAGAGTTTGGTTACGTAATATGTGTCTCACCTACGACAGGCCAACGGACGCCCCATCAGTGGGCCTTTGATTCTGGTTTGTGTGAGTAAAGTACTGAGGTCAGGGAGAGGAACCTCACTGTCTTTAGAAATGACGGAACTTTTTTTTATTTCATGATCACATGAAGCCTTTACTGTGTTTTAAAACCAGCTGATGACTCTGAGCAGTTTGTATTTAAATCTTTGACACACAGACATGTAGTTAGTGTGAAATCATCTCATATCTACCTGTGTGTTCCCATCATGCACTGCTCCCAGAGGCTGGAGGATCCAGTGGAGCATTGTACCTGAAGTCTCAGAGCCAATGGTGAGAAATCTCTCTTCAAACCTGTTTGTTTTTTATCTTCAACATGAAAAAGATCCATGAAGTATTGTCCTGATGTTCTCCTGGGACACAAGTTTTTTTTTTCTTTGGATGTGAAAGGTATGACTCGTCTGCTCTGCCTCTGATCAATAATCTGCACAATGAGTAATTATACCTTTACAGTAATTATTTTTTCTGTGAATATTCTTGTGCCTTTACTTGTGTCACATTTTGAATGCAACACTTTTATTTGTAGTATTTTTACATCACCATCTCACTGCTACTTCTACTGAAGTAACGCACCTGGATACTTCTTCCACCACTGCACGGTGGCATGCAGGTGACGTCAGGTAACTGAGAGGTGTTAAACATTTTAACTCTGCCTTCTCTGTTTTTTACAGGAGCCTCCCAAAGAAGACTTGACAGTGTCGGAGAAGTTCCAGCTGGTTCTGGACGTTGCTCAGAAAGCTCAGGTGAGACGTGACAGAGAAGGCGGAGGCTCCGCGTCAAAATGTGACACCTGCCGACAGATGTAACAACAGCTGTTTTTTGTTTCGTCTTCACAGAATCTGTTTGGAAAGATGGCGAACATCCTGGAGAAGATAAAGAAGTGAGTTTGTCTGCACACACTTTGTTCGAGGTCAGAGAGAACTGATGGTCCATACACAGATCATAATACTGTGTGTGTTGTGTGTGTGTGTGTGCGTGTGTAGTCTGTTCATGTGGGTTGAACCAGAGTTGACTCAGAAGCTGTACATTGGTCTGTGGCTGGCCTTCATCTCCTCCTGCCTGCTGCCGTACCAACTCCTGGGATTCATCATAGGTACTTCACTATCTTAATTACTGCGCTGTACACCTCGTGCATAATATTACGCACAAACTACAAGCAGTCATCTGTTCATACAGTAATTTATTTTTTGTCTCTCAAATTAAACCAACAACATTTTTAATTCAGTTAAACCCTTCAGCTGTGTTACCTGTGACTTGATAAAGTCTGTTTGTCCCTTGATTCATATTTCAAAGTCTCACTGCTTTGTTACGTACATAGTGAGTTTATATTAGTTGTTTTTATACAATGTATTTATTCAAGTGAGTGACAACAACCCCGCCCACATTTAAGAGGACTGTTAGAGGTGGAAAAGTTAAACAGGCCGAGGGTCTAGGTACCATGTCTGAAGGGTAACTGTTGGTTTCAGAGGTACTGTACTGAAAGTGTTCGGTGGAAACGGGGTGTAAAAGTTTGCTGGCTTACCTATTGGCACTGCTGTTTGCACTGTACCCATGGACATGCAGACAACTATCACTGAATTAAATCTATACTGATGAAAACTTAGAACTTGAGACAGTGATCTCCTGGGAACATGTAGGTCACACTGAACCTAAGAATATGTGTATCTTGTGTTTGTGTTCAGATTTGACTGAGTTATGACACTAAGAAAAGTTTAAGCTTCATGAAGTGACTTTTGGACATTTTCTGGGGGGACAGACAGACTCAGAAACAAGCTGACAGACACACTGCTCTGACATATTATGAGATTATATGGTATTTGTGGCTTAAATGTAAGCAGCTGCCTAGTTCAACATCCAGCAGACACTGAGCTCCATGATCATTTTATTAGTCGTGTTTGTTTCCACCCGATGAATCAAAGTGTAGTGTTCACGTGTTAGACACTGAAGAGTCCAGATTACATTTCACTGAGTGTAGGAGTGAGATCCAGGGCTGCTGAGTGTCTCTGATCAATGTCCTCTTTCTTCTCAGGTGTATATGCAGGTATAAAGTTCTTCGTCATCAACTTCATCTTTAGTAGATGTCCCAAGCTGAAGGAGCGCTACGACACCCCTTACATCATCTGGACCAATTTACCCACCGACCTGCAGCTGAAGGAGCGCGGCAACACCACACTGAGCAGAAGGGTCAGTCCAAACTCTAAAATATATCCAGAAAATACAACTCACACACCGAAGTGCTGATCTGAAGTCAGCCACTGGCTCAGATATGCCCTGGTACAAACTGGTCACTGGTTGTTACTGGTCCCAGCAGGTGGTCTGTGCTGGTTTCAGTTCTCTATTGTTGTTTTTCTCTCTCAGCTGTCTGAGTGTGAACAGGTAGGGTCCTGATGTGTGTGTGTTGTGTGTATTTACAGTCACAGTGTAGAGGTCAGTAGTGTTTATTGTAGTTAGAGATGTAGAGTCAACACTGATATCACTGAATGTAACCAATCTGCTGCTGTTATTATTAGTGACAGTGACAGTCTGTCTGTTAGATCGAGATATCCCAAAACCCATCGGTCAGATTGTCAGTGAATGTCTCATCCCTTTAGATTTTAATGAACCTTCCTCTAGCGCCTCCCTCAGGTCAAACTTCGGTCAGAGCTTGTACCTTTGCATCTACGTTTTAGGTTTCGACCTGAACTGAGTTGAGTCTCATTTAAAATCTTTGTTTTTATCCAAGTTTGGTTTCTGTCTCTAAATATCGTCTCCCATTTTGGTTTGAAATTTGGGGCTTTAATTTTTGAACTCATTGTTCAAGTTGGATCTTTTCCAATTTTGTGGATTTCTGCTTCAAGTTTCACTGAACAAACGTTTTAAAATACAACACACACTGGCATTATCATGTCGTGTTCAGAACATGGATGAATATAAAGGCACCTGGTTACAGCTTAGCCTATATTAATGAAGGTTCATTAGTACGGTATTGTATTTCTCTGTAATGTAGCACAGTGTTAACAATGTTACTGATACTATTCTTTCTCACAGCTTCAACTCAAACCACCAAAATATATCATTTAATCATTACATTCACATCAGAAACACGCAGGAGACTACTCCACTGATGGACCCTGATGAGGACTGTTGGTCGACAAGGAAAATTCTTAGTTGGGGGCAGCCGTAGTTACAGCATTGCAGGCAGGGCCCTATTTATTCCTATGAAAGTTGCTCAGTCTTGCATGAAGCTAAAATCACTCTCTTTCCGCAGTGTAAAATTACCCGCATCTTCTGCATTATGGGGCCCATAGAGCACTAGAGACTTATGACAGCAGTGTGGGGCTTAGCAGCTAAATTCTGGTTTAGTGCTCTGCTAATTGCAGTGGGGATAAATTGATTTAGTCTTGCGGCTCTTCTGGACATTTGAAATGTTATCAGACTGGATGGGTCACAGTCTGACAGTGAAACCATTCATTTTGCAGGGGTTCTGACACTGACAAGTCTATGGCGAATCTCTTTGGGCCCAGTGGCATCACGTGATGGTGTAATTCCAATTTTGGCCACTATGAAATTGGCTTTAAAGCTCGGTCCTGTTTTTGGCGGCTTGGTTGAGACATCAAACGCACCATACAGACAGAAGCAGTCAGGGTACAGATGCTGAGATCAGGAGAGTCAATGTGGTAAAACGGCTGCTTTTCTGGGGAGCTGAGTGTCGTCTGGATGCTGCAGAAAAAAAACACTTAACCTATTAGATCTAAAAAGTGAAGGGATTAAAACGCATCCAGCCACTTTTAAGAAGTTAAAAATGAAAATTTTAGTCACTTACAAAAGGTTATACAGTATTTTTATGATGGTTTGCACATTGATGCATCACCAGAATTTTTGTCCCCTTTAGATCTCAATGTCCCCACTCCTCTAGCGCCACCCTCAGGACAAACGTAGGTTAGATCACACCATTTTTTCTTTTTTTGTTTGTTTTGGTTATCACCCAAGTATAAGGTTTGTATCAAGATTTTACTCTTGTTTTCATGTTCATTATTTGGTCAGATCCTCTAGGGTCCTCTGGCACCACCTTCAGGACAAACTTTACATTTTTAGTTCCACTACGCACAAGAATCGCTAAATCATCAGGAAATTGTTTGTACATATCGTGGCTGTAATAAACACTGTAGAAAGATTTTAGGCACATTATTAATAACAAAAAAGACAAACAGCTGGGAGGGGAACACACCTGGACAGGTGACTTGTTGATGATGCTTAGGATGCCACTGCAGTACCTCCCCTGCTACTGATTTGCTAATCCAGTATCTGCCCCGCCCCCCTCTGTCCACCTGTTCAGGTTACCATGACGGCCGGCCGAGGCAGTGTCGGCACCGCGGCTCCTCTGGGTGTCAACCGGGACGAGGACGGAGGACGATACTACAGCACCAAGAGAGGGGCTTTTCACGACGTCTTCAATCTGCCGGAGAGCGAGCGGCCTCTGTCAGGTGGGGGACGAACCGGCGAAATCTATTTCATAAGTTATTTTAGCTTCAGATATCAAACTGAAGAGTTCAAACTGAAAAAGAAAGATTTTATACATGTTGTAAACAATTATTTGCAGGACAGTATCTGGGAATTTAGTCTATTTAAGTCCTCTGATGCAGTATTTATTCAGTTAAATGTTCAGTTATATGTTTTATGTCCTCACTATGTCAAGAATTTAACTCTGATGAGAAATATGGGATTCTTTATTCATTCTTGGCCCCTAAAAAAGTCCAAAATTATAAATACACTGAGTCTAAAAACACTGGAATCAGTCAGATAACCACCCTGTGTGACCTGCAGCAGGTGACTGTTGTAAACTGTCATCTGATTCTTTGTGCTGTTGTCTCAGTGTGTGAGAACGGCTGGCGCTGCTGCCTCATCAACAGAGACAGGAGGACACCGACAGACTACATCCGTAATGGAGTCCTCTACGTCACTGAGAAGTAAGTCCTTCACTCCCTGTTGGCTCAGTTTTATTTTGTTTTTTCCTTAAGCTCTGACTGGGATCCAAATGTTTTACAGATTCTACTGTTTTAACTAACATGAGTAAATTCATAATCCTACTAAAGGTACATTCACACAGAACACAGATTTATAGGCACTGAAATAGCACTACAAGTCAACAGAGCAAGTGTACAGGCATGCGCTGATATCAGTCTGCCTGAGAGGCGTAAAGTGAGGCAGATACCTGTCTGAACAAGTTTAAAGTATGTCAACTTAAGTGAAAAAATGCATGCATTATCTCAGGGCTTTATGAATCTACTTCATGAATGTACAGAGCAGAGGGGGAAGAGGAGAGAGACTGAAGGGAAATGACAAAAAGAACTGGAGCTCTGAGGTCATTTAGGTGCTGTAGAAGCTGTATTATATGGATTTCTGGCACAACTTCACCTGAATTCAAGGTTTATGGAGGAGAGAAAAAAAAAATGTTACGCACAGAAACCTTACACACTGATTCAGATGTGTGTTATTGTTCTATTTGCTCCACGTAACAAAATGAAAAGACACATTTCCTCCTTTGACTCTCTCCACTGGAGTCACCTGTCTGACTGTCATCACTCCCTCCCTGTCTTTCATTTTGCACCACAGCTGCATGAAGGGGCGGAGCTGTCCTTCGCATTCTGTGTATGGTCCACATCCTCCTCCTCCTGAATATTACTATCTGACCTGTTGATTGTATCTGAGTTATGAAATGATTCTGTAAATGGTAAATGGACCTGCATTTGTATAGCGCCTTTCTAGTCATCCGACCTACTCAGTTTTTAACACACTCTCACACCGATGGAACAGCTCCATCGAGAGCAATTTGGGGTTCAGTATCTTGCTCAAGGATACTTCTACATGTGGATTGGAGGAGCCGGGGATCGAACTGCTGATCTTCCGATTGCTGGACGACCCGCTCTACCTCCGAGCCACAGCCGCCCGTTCCTCTGTCTTGTCGTGGCTGTGTCCCGCCGCCACATTTTCCTCACTGATACTTGGTCAAACGTCTCTAAAGTCTCTGACAGATGCAAAAAGTGCAGAAAATAGAACCTGTTACGAAAATTTTAATGTTGGACGAAAGTTTCTGACTCGGTGTGCAAACATGATTGACGCAACGTGAGGTGGTATTTATTTTTGGATGTGCAACAATGTCGAACGAAAACAACAGACTCAAAGGCCTTTAGTGTCAGACCAACACATTTTGAAATGCAGTAATACAGTAAATCATTCATCATCTTGATGTACAATTTAAAACTAGTTTTCTCCTCTGTCTCTTCAGTCATCTGTGTTTCGAGAGCTCCAGCTCCAGATCTGGATCCTCCAAGAGGAACAAAGTCATCAAGCTGCTCGACATCACCGACATCCAGAAGGTCTGTAGAGTCTCTGCTTCTGTCCAAATGTTTTGAACGTCACTGTCAGTGTGTTACACAGTCTGATAAGGAGCGACATTGCAGCTGGGCCTCTCTGTCTGCTGCAGGAAGACACGGCTGCTTTATATATTAACACTGATTATTCCTCATGACTCGTTCCTGCTGTTCTTGCTGCTTATTTATTCATCATTAGGTTAATTTGAGTTTGGTTAATGTTTGTCCTCCTGTTTGTTTGTGCCGTAATATTTCTTTTACAACAGTAACAAATGCTGTTTCATGACAGTAAAGTTTATCTGAATATGTCTTCTCTGTCCTTCACAGTACAAAGTTTTGTCTGTGTTGCCTGGATCTGGGATGGGCATCTCCATAGCAACGCCATCCACCCAAAAGGTAGGAGCTCAGAGGGAGGAACTGTGAACTGGCCTCATGTTAAAGATAAAATTGAGACTGTGAGCGTTATATTAAGATGCTGTGCTTAAATGGAAGTAGCAATAAAGTGCTGCAGGAACACAGAAATGAGTTAGCCTGTTAGCGCTACTGGTTCACTTGTCTCAAAGTCAGTGGGGTTTTAGCTGGATGTGGGAAATAAGGTCTGTGGTTAACACAAGATTAAGAGACTTAACCTTTCTGTTCTAGTGTTCGTTTAAAGCCTAGCGTCAGCTGTTTACTCGTGGAGATTGCATTTATGCTCTGTGAATAATAAAAGTGGTGTTCATATGTTCATCTTGCTGAAAAAACAAAAGTAAGCGTCACAAACTTTTGTTTGCCGTAGAGCTTATTGTCTGCAATAATCCAACTGAAAAATCTTAAAGGCTTTTTGACAAGGGAACCAGGGCGAAGCTAACTTCTGGGTTGGCCACAACAAAAGGTCACACCTGCACCAATTTACTGCAGTGTATTTAAAGTAATACATAAAAACTACAAGTATTAATGGAAAAAAGACCTTAGAATATAAAAAGTACTTATTATGCAGGGTTACAGTTTTATTCATTATTGATTTGATGCATTAAAAGTAAAAGCAGCACTTAAATCGAGGAGCAGATTCCAACCATTCTACTCTTTTGGTAGTTTAATCAATAATGATGATCATAAATATCCCTTTTTACACAGAGATGGCGCTATAGAGCCTCTACTAAGTGCCTTCTATATGTCGCCTTCACATTTTCACACAGAACAAAGTGACAGCGGGATCATGACGCTCCAGTGTGTGATTTTAGACAGCATGCCAGCATCGCGGCATAGAAAGAGGTGTGATGGGCGCATAGGTGTCGGCCTCTAGTGTGACACATAACAGCAGCACTGTATAAACAGCAACGATTGCATTAACATGTCAATAACAATCATTTACCGTCTGTGCTACATGACAGCTGAGCTCGTCCTCTGCTTGTAGCTAAAGGAGTTCCCAGACCTCATTGTTTTACCAATTTGCGGACATTTTCTGCTGCTGTACTTCTTCTTTGAGTTAGCTGCTAACTATTACCAGCTAATTTTTATATCTTCCGTGGTGGGATGCATGCATGAAATGCCCATGATCACGCCCTTCTTTCCCAATTATACAGATGCTGTTTCAGTGCTGTTAATACCTCCAATGATGCCTTAAAGGCCAGACAACTTTGTTCCCCCATTCCAAAATTATACCTGTTATAAATAATGGCGAGGCGTGAAAATTCCACCTTGAAGAAGGCGTGTAAAAGGGGCTTATGCTGCATATACACGTGTATTATATGTTTATTGTCTCCCCAGTTTGTGGATCGCATCGTTGAATCAAAAGAGCCGTGACAGACGTGACGTTTAACACGACAGGTTTGGCCTTTAGTGTGACATGTAACAGACACCTCAGTTGCGCTTTGTAAACAATAACAATGGCAAAACATGTCAGTAACAATCATTTACCGACCGTCCTTGTTATGTGGCGATTGATCTGGTCCTCTGCTCGGAGGGTAAGGAGCCACTGCAGTGCATTGTTTCTCAGTAGTTCACGGACATTTACATCTGCCTTTCTTCTTCTTTGAGTTAGCTGCTAACTGCTGTTAGCTGCTTTTTAAATTTCCGGCGCTGGGTCACACACGTAACATGTTGTCAAGACGTCTCACCTGTCCCGTCCTGCTAGCTGTCCCTTTTGCTGAGACATCGATTCAGTGCTGTTACTACCTCTGCTGCCGGCTCAAAGGTGAGACAACTTTGTCCCCTGATTCAGTGATTATACCTTTTATTGAGGAGGGGCGAGGCGGAATAACAGGGATAAATAAAACAAAACAAACAAAATCCAACAGAAGGGATTTATTTCTTTACAATGTAGTGAAGTAGAAGTATAAAGTCGCATAACCAAGAAATACGAGTACCCAGAAATTGTACTTCTGCTTGTGTAAATGCACTGAGTGACCTTCTGTTCTGTTGCAGCCGATGGTGTTCGGCGCAATGATCCACAGAGACGAGGCCTTCGACGCCATCTTCAATCAGTACATGAAGATCGTTGCCATGGCTGCAGCCACAGAGCCGGAGACATAGTAACACCTTCACAAGAGGGCTGCATTCACAGACACAAACACTGGAACTGTTTCACTGTGTTCACCAAACAGCTGCTGACTCCAGTTTGAGCTGCTCTCAACAAACGAAATGATCCGGTGACACTGATTAATATTACATCAGCCGACTTCCACCAAATCAGGCAGAATCAGGCGGTTAACAGTTACTGCTCTTAGAGTGTTTAATAGAAAGTTCCCACAAAACAGACGACCTCATGTCCTGAGGTATAACTTAACGTAAATGCTCAAGTTAATGGCTGTTATTTAAAACTCAAATAATCGCCTGCTTAAACAAATAAACCCCGGGTAAAACCCTTAAGGAGGGCAGGGTTACCTCTTTTATGTCTCACATGATAAATTCAGTTGAAAGTACTTTTCTATACAACAGCAGTCATGTTATACTCTTCTCTCTGCTGATTAGTTAATAAAGAGGTGAAGTCCCTCCCCTCCTGGTGTCCCCCATGGGACCTTATTACAGAGACAAATAACTTTTTGATTCTGCTTTAACTGTGCGATGAATTACACATATAATGACAAAATTTTGCAAGTCAAGAAAGTTGCAGTTTGTCGTAGCGTCGTTTAGTTTTGTCTGAAACTGCTCAGTGAATTACGTCTCTTGTCTCGCACGATATACAGTACGTCACCAACAGCAGCTAGCTAACTAACTAACTAGGTAACTTAGTTCCTTGCACAAATGTAAAGTTATCTTAGCTGACTCCAATGGCTTTTTGGCCCATAGATGGGTGTACTGTAAACGACCAGAAAAAGAGGTGGGTATACCCGCTATACCTGCATATACCCTCCACTCCACCACCAAGAACAGAATTCACTTTCTTGTGTACGTGTAATCAGCCAGAAATGGAACTAGCGAGAGCCATCACTCATGTAGGTACGTCCTCATACGAAACACACAGGAGTCGCAGCCTCGTAGCCGCACAATTTTCGCAGTCTTTTACTACAAAAAGCAAATCTTTTGCACACTTGAGGTACGACAGGTGCGTAGGAGAAGACGATGGACTGACTGTCACAGAACAAAGAACTCCCACATACCGTGCTACACGTGCAGCGTAGAAATTTGTTGGTAACAAGACCAATGTTCCAGTTGTCTTTGTTCCCAATGAATTTCCTTTGCAGAAAAATTTATACTTGAACAGTTTTATGACAAACAAATGAACAAACATAATGTGTGTGATTCATGGCAAAAATCAAGCAGGATCAAAAAATGATTTGTCTCTTGCTTTTTTCCAAAATAAGGTCCCATGGTGGTCCACTGACTACTTCGCCTCTCTTAGACGCTCAACACTTCCCGCTCTAATGCTTCGCATTAAGAGCCTTCCAAGGGTACAAATCCCTCCCTTAGCTGGACGGCTTTAAATGTGAAACATGTTTTGGTCTCAGAAGAAGAAAAGGTGGTTTATGATTTAAATGAGGCATTTTTAAATTCAAAGTTTGTTTTGGTCAGTCAGCTGAACAAATGCATCTTCACCTGCAGCTCATCGGTCAGCTGTGTCATGTGACTGGCTGCAGGTTCTGAAATTTCAGTTTACTTACATGCAGGCCTGCTGTCAGAGGGGTCAAAGGGTACAGATCACTCCTACTGAAAAGCCAGCGGGGGGCCATGAAAAGGTCTACGTACGGCAGGAGTGAGTGAGAATGAGGGGCTCAATTTGATAAATGTTGTCCCCTGTCAATAATTCCTAATGGCAGGCCTGCTTACATGCAGATGTGTTACACTGATGTATGTCACACCCAGAGGTTTACTACACAGTGTCTTAAAATGACTTCTTTTTTAGCAGTTTTGATAATTAATTAATCATTAACATCATTTATCAATTAAAACTCAAATCATTCTCTGGTTGCAGCTTCTCTGATGTGAGGATTTGCTGCTTTTCTTTTTGTTTTTATATTTTTATCTTTGACTTTTGAACTTTGGTTTGGGCAAAACAGGACATTGGAATTTTGATTTTTTTGGGTTATTAATAAGTTAATAAGGAGACTTTATTTTTTTTGAATAAAGAACATTTGTATCACACAACAACAGGAAGTCTTCCTTGTGAAATTTAAAAACTTCACATGAAAGATCAGAAATTGCATTTTGACTCAGCACGAATTTAAACGTGGGGCTGCAGCTAATGATAATTATCTCTAATAAGGCTTATATGTTGATATTTTCTCAGCTAACAATCGGTCTTAAAACTGAAAAAAGTCAGAAAGTAGTGAAAAATATCCATTACAAGTTGATGCCATCAACTACTTCCTTTTGTCTAACGAATATTTTTAACCCCAAAATATTAAGCCCAAAATGACACAGAGAAAAGCTGCAAGTCCTGACGTTCATCACTGCATTACTGCTGTTACACTCATAAATATTAAACCAGGAAGTTTACTACACAGTGTGACAGTGCTGAAAACATTTTCTGAACATGTTTCAACCACATCTGAAGAAAAAAGCAAGGGTTCTTTGGACTTAATGAGAACTGCTTTTACAGTATTTGCAGATAAAGTCATTAACTTACATCAGTGTCTTCAGGGAATTGTGTAAACTTCATTATATGACTCTGTATTGTACTTAGCAGCCAAGCCTTACGGTCACTTAATGTTATGGTATGATGTTTTTTATGTGGTGGTAAAAGACTGTTTGTATTCTATATGAATGTTCAGAAACATTTATTGTAAATCACAAAGTTACCCTCAATGTAGCTTTTCTGTCGTAGCTAAAAGCTAAAGCTAACAACACGGACACAACCACAATCAATAAGCTAAGAAGCTAAAAAACAGAAGCCACGCTGACGTCAAATATTAACTTTTTGTCCAATTTGTTTCAACTTTACCTTTTTTTACTAGCGTGAAGCTAGTCGGCTAAAGCTAAAGAACTGAAAACACATCGACCTGAGATGTTTTTTAAATCACAGTTCGTTATCTTTTTAGCTTTGTTTCACAGCCAATGTGCTAAGAGGCTAAAAAAAGGTAAAATGCTGACTTTATCCATATGACTTCTGTTGAACATTATTCCTAACCTTGGCGAATCGGCTAAAGCTAAACAAGTTAAAACAACACAATGAAGTTTTTTTCTTTTCAGTTAAGCTCCTCTTGTCACTTTTTACCAAGCTGTGGTAATACTCATTTGCTCACACTGATGAATAATTGTTGCTCTGTGCTTGCTATCAATCAGAACTAAAGCCTCATTTCCATCAAACCCTTTCAGTCCAGCACCTTTGGAACCAACAGTAACCCTTCAGACATGGTACCTAGACCCTCAGTCTGTTCAGACAGTCCTCTTAAATGTGGGCGGGGTTGTTGTCACTCACTGCTCCGTCCAGCACTCGCTGTATTTCCTCATCAGCTGTGACACAGATGGAAGTCTGCACCTGGTTTATCGTCCACAGAACGAGGCTGCACGCCCACATTTTCACAACAAAATAGAACAGGCTGCAGTGAGAGTCTCTCTCCATGGGATATTTAAAAATAGCAGCTTTGTGCATTTAGTCCTTCTCAGGCAAGCTCAGGGGTTTAGTGTTGCTGTAGCCCACAGGAAGTGAGGATTAGAATATATGACCTTCACATAATCCGCTCCAAATTAATCTATATTTTTAAAGTCATTACTAAAAGTGTGTGTCATATAAAAACTAAAGTGATGGTCAAAGTTGTCACAGTGAAATTTAAGGTGTGCTGATGGATTCACGTCATCAACTCATGCATTGAGTAACATTACAAGTAAACGTTCCACCTTAAAAGTTGCCGGCAGTCTGTTCAGTGAATGAAGTTATTTTTTCTCAGACTCCAGCTGCTGTGAGAGGCAGCAAAACATCCTTTCATTTTATAGTTACAGTTTACTAATAAAACTCTCCACAGTATGAACAGTGGTTACATGAGCCTCAAATCCAGACACAACTCAGCCCTGAGCAGAGTGACCGTCCTCTACTGACCAATCAGACTGCAGTGTTCACAGCTCCACCTTTTAGTACCAGATCTGTGTGCTAGGTACCCCAACAGAGGGGGGACCAAACATTGGGACTCTAAGGAACGCTTCTGTTGGTACCATCCACAACTTTTCACTGTGGAAACAGAAAAATAGCGTATCGAACTGAATGGTACTGTTCGGTGGAAACAGGGCTTAAATGAGCCACTTTGATTTAAACCTTTTAGTTTTTTAATTTGAACCAAGGTACGTCATGTCCGAACATCTATACACAAAGTCTATATACTATTGTTTTCTGCATTAGACTTTGGAAATTGACAGTAAATGAGGAAAACACTTTTTTTGCAGCCTAATAAAGTTAACCAGCTGAAGCGCAGCAGCCATGTAGCATACATTTTAAAACAGATCACCACCGCTCTGTAACTGTGTATTTAGTACGTACTTTAATATATTAACTGTCAGTCAGAAGGATGTCACACCAGCATTTATCACTTTAATGTCACATCAGATCAGCCCATTTCAATGAAAATGTTACAAATTTGACCTTTTGACAAAAAACAAATGGATGATGTAATCCTTTTTGTGATTTAAGGTAAAATCACTCAGTCATTTTTCTAAATTGCACATTGCATAAATGACACCCTTTGTTTTCTCCTCACACATTTTATTTGTTCAACAGTTTTGATAAATCTTTCTCACTGGTGCAATCGGGCCTCACTGAGCTCTTTCGTTGCCAAATATGTCGTCTTTGTAGCTTTTAATTTAGTCAAAAAACCATTTTAATTTTTGCAATATTGATGCCAGCTGTTTACGCCGTGTTGCCTCTATCACATGTTTTGTTTTGTGCACTTCCTGTCTTTCTTTGGCGTTATCTCCTGATCTTTCTGATTTTGTTTTGTGGTTTCTCAGGTTTTGCTTTTGTCTCGTCAGCGCTGTGAACTTTTCTCTGTCGGCCTGTTGTGTATTTCAGATTAATGGTTTTATAAAATGGTGTCATTGTACAAATAGGTGTAATTTTTTTTATGAAATTATCTCTGTTGTTAAAATGTGATGTACATGCTTTTTATTTAAGTAAAATTAAAAATCAAACACTGACAATCTCCCGTAGTTGTTTCTGTGCAGTACCTGCTTCAGTCTGTCACTGGAGAATCATCTGAAAACCACGCCCACTTGGAGGGGAAAACTGGCGGCGCCACAATATGCAAGTAAGGGCTAACAAAATGCCTGTAGCTCACTAAACACATTAGATATCAGCATGTCACAGGATTATTTTAACACCCTGTGTCCACCAGAAAGAAAAAGTTATACTTACCTTGCTTATTTTGGTGGCCAGCAGTGACAAACTTTGATTTTTACACCTATTTGATTGAATCACCAGGTAACATCATCATTTGAGCTAAAAAAAAAAAAGAGATCAAACTCAGGCATTACATAGCCTCTCTGCCCTCAACAGTTTGTCTAGCCAAGTTAGCAAAATGCTTGCTGCACGTCCACATCCCACAACAAAGTAGGTTTTAGGCCCTGATTACACAGGACGCGTTTTAGCAGCTGGAGGCGCCTTTTTTTTATTGATTTTAATGAGAACAAAGCATTTTGCTCGCGTTTTTTGCGTTGCGATGCACCTCGTGTTTCTGCACTCCAAGTGCCTGGTGTTTTTTCAGGAGCGCTCTGAACTCCTCGAGTTGAAAAAAACTTCAGAGCAGAAAATCACCCCACGTCATCTTCACCTTTTCCCCATTGTCCAATGGGATGATTTGAGAGTCGGGCCTTCTGTGGTGGTCACGACAACAACTTTGCAGTTAGTAAACAATGGTGGTGAAACTGGTGATAGTGGTTGCTGGCCCTGAGTCATCCTAAAATCTGCCTGTAAACGTCCATGATGGAGGAGAAGCTCCTGGACCAACTGGTGGTACTCCCCATGATCCAGCCTCTTTTTTAGGGTCTCATGTACCCACACAGATCTCTGTTTATCTGCTGACAGCCTCTCACCCTCAACCAGAGCTACAGACAGAACCCTCTGCCTCAACATGGCAGCAGCTACACACTGATTACTGGAGGATAAATACAATAAATAAATAAAGAGTAGATTGATGACATGAGAATATTAGGATGTGATGGAGCGCAGCAGGCGTTGTTTCTTACTAGTGGCATTCGGTAAAAAAAAAAAAAGGGAGTGCATCGCGCATGCGTTTTGCAGCCTGCAAAACACTAACTGTGTGATCAGGGCCTTAGTAGGGTTGAGCTGAGTACTCGGATGAAACAAGTATCTGGTGCAAATAATGTACTTTTTAGGAGTACAAGTATCATATGAGTAAAATGTGTCAATATCTGTATTCACAATGAAGGAAAATTCTCATTTGGGTCGCTGTGATCAGTCTCTTACTCTTGTGATCAAACATGATCTGAAGCTCAGTTCTGCTTTGTCAGAGCCACAGTAACGTTCTTTGTATTTGTTTTCATGTTTAACTGATGGTGACGACATGTAAATAGTTTTGTTTGTACACAGGGTGGCGCACAAGAACAGGTAGTATAGGCAGGGTGCGGGGGATGAGCAGCAGGTGTGTGACGGGGAAAGCAAGAAGGTTTTTGACCGTGTTAAGTGTTGCAGCATGAAGAGTCTGTAGCGTGTTGAAACTGAAATTGATTCTGAGTTTGATTCCTGTTGCTGCATGTCATCCCCACTCTCTCACCCCCCCGTACGCTATAGCTGTGGCAAAAGGCAAAAAAAAGTCCTCAAAAATATCTTTATTCTACCATAAATATTTTTTCTAAAATAATGTCCCATGGTGGTCCATCAGCAGGGGGGGGATTAGCCACTCTGTTAACCACATACTCAGTATAAGCAGTAAATTAATATTCACAGTGATCTCTCTTAAATACAATTGAGTTGACTTAAAACAGAAAATTTGGAGGACAGAAATTATAAAGCACATTATCGCTCAGTTTAATGATATATTCTTATGACTATACAATATTTAATTCACTTGGGTTTGACCCAATCCTCAACAGACTTTCATTTCTGCTCCAAGTTCAACATGAGTGTTAATTCTTTTAGTTCCTCTGCTGACAAACTTCACTGAACTGAAGCTGCTGTGTGTCATTTAACTGAAGTTCAGAGTTTGTTTGTGTCATCGTGTTTTACAGCCGTCAGTATCAGCAGGGAGGGTTTTTATTATCACACACTGTGACAGCAGATGTTTCTGTTTTTATCACCTGCTGTTTCTCTCTGTGAGCTTCTACTTTTACACAACATGATTTCAGCATCATCTGTCAGCACTGACCAGCCAATATAACCAGTAAATAATCAACTCAGAGTACCAGTAAGTGTGGTATCTCTACTGGAAAACACAAGTGATGCAAAACCGCAGGGAGAGGAAGAAAGATGCCTCCTCCTATTATTCATTCATTTTCCCAGACCTGGATCAGGGCATCAGTGAGTCAGTGGCATCCAGGAACTGCCTACACACTCTGTCTCTATACTGGGACCAGTTAAGTGCCTTCATTTTTTGAGCAGTGCATTAACTCATTGGTTGTTTTAACTGTGTACTTTTCTGATGCAGGACGAGGCTGTTTGTGTCAGTACAGCTTGTGTTCAGGTGCGTTTTATTAAAAGTTTGTCATGAATAATAATCAAAATTAAAAAACAACAGTTCCATTTTGTTTTCTTCACAGAAATAAATGAAATCCTGAGATAAAGACCAACTGTATATATGTTTCTAAAGTTTTCTTATAACCCTTAAAATCAAGAAGGCCTCGTGACGTCCTGTGAAGCTTTGGCGACCCGTAGTCGGGGTCAGGAACTACAGCTTGGGAGCCGGTGCTGTAACGCCTTAACACACAGCTGAGTACATTTAAAATACATGTCTGATTTATTAAGCACAAATCAACAAATACACATATTTAGTTTGAAGTTCTTCCATAACTGTAATACTAGCAAGGACGACCAGCATTTCCACCACACTGATCTCAGTGTCCTCAAACTCCTTTTATTCATGGACATAATATCTTTAATCAGGTTTATACTGTAATGATTAAGAAATATTTACATAAAGAATAAAGGTTGTAAAAGATTTTATTTGTTTAAAATCTAAACCTTCACACAGCTAATGGATTAAACTCAGACTCATAATAACCTGACTTGTTTTTATCTTTCAGCAGGATGTGTTCAGTCCTGGTTCTGTCTCTGGTCGTCTGTAATGGACTGCTAAGACACACTGCTAATAAATCATTAGATTTTATTATGGGCGGTTCCCGTTGTGTACTCGTCTCTTTCACAGATCAATGTTCAACACGTCGTCAGCTTCCGAGTCCTCTGCTGGATCCTCCATCTTCACCCCGAGTCCACTGTCCAGATCTGTGTCATTAAAGACGACCCTCGGGGTCCTCAGGCTGTCATCTTCGTCCTCCTCTCTGCTGCTGGAGGCCTGCTCCTCGTCTTCCTCCTCGCTGTCATCCTCTCTGCTGTCAGGGATAATGACCACCTCCTCCTTGGCGTTGGGGTCGATATCCTCCTTAAACCAGACCGACTTGTACCCGTCATCCATGCGTCTCTCCTTAGTCAGGATGGGTTTCACCTCCTTCTCACTGTCAGCCTTGTCCGAGCCTGCCTGACTGGTGTCGTCTCGCAGGAGGGCGTGCAGCGGCACTGTAGTCTTTACTATGGCCTCACTGAGTGCAAAGTCCCTTGCCCCTCCACCAGCCATCATGTGTCCCCCTGCAGGACCGCCAGAGCCGACGCTGTCTCCATCTTCATCGTTCTGGAAGGCCTTGTTGGTGTACTGGATTCCCTCCTTTTGACTGCCTGAACCTTGACCCAGCTGTGGAGGCACAACACACATAACAGTTTAAAGTCCTGCTGTTGACCAGGAGAAGCTGCAGTGTTCAATACATCCCATAATATGGTAAATAGAGCTCTTTTTTTAGGTCCCAACCTTACATAGCAGCAGAGCATATTCTGGGTACTGTCTGAGATAGGACGCTCTGTTACTTTGAACAACAGCAGAGCATCAGATTTGATTTAAGAACGCAGCTAAAGGACCCATTTAGAAAGTTTATCTTGTCAAGTTTGAAACAGTCTCTAGAGAGGAGGAGACGGAGTGAACCTACGTCTTCACCCCTGCAGCTTGTTTAAAATTCCATTCATGTTATTACAGAGAACGTTTCGAAAAAAGGTACCGTTCGTTCGTTGGGTACCATTCCATGTCCGAGACTTCGTGACTCAACCAGCTGACTTCCTGTTGACTCCTAGCACGCTTTTTTCCCCCTAGGATTGTGAAAGCATGACCTGCCCGGGGTCACGGTTAGAAAGTCAAGGTAAGCCATTCAGAGGCAGCGTAAGGTCCTGATCATACAGAAAGCGTTTTAACAGCTGGAGGCGGCTTTTTGTTATAGTTTTTGCGTTGCTACGAGCCTCGTGTTTATGCGCTCTAGGCACCTGGCGTTTTTGCTGGAATGCGCTGAGTTAACTCAGAGCGGAAAAGGTGCTCCAAGTTACCGCCTCTTTTCTTCCGTTGTCCAATCAGATGATTTGAGAGGCGGGCCTTCTGTGGTGGTCACGACAAGTTTACAGTTGGTAAACAATGGAGGAGAAACTGGTGGTAGTGGTTGCTGGATACCCAGAGCTATACGACTTTACAAACCACATTTACCACCAACTCGGTATAACAGCAGGCGTGGAAGCAGATAAGTGCAGTACTGTAAACGTCCATGATGGAGGAGAAGCTCCTGGACCAACTGGTGGTACTCCCCATGATCCAGCCTCTTTTTTAGGGTCTCATGTACCCACACAGATCTCTGTTTATCTGCTGACAGCCTCTCACCCTCAACCAGAGCTACAGACAGCACCCTCTGCCTCAACATGGCAGCAACTACACACTGATTACTGCAGGATAAATACAATAAATAAACAGTAGATTGATTACACGAAAAGGTTAGGGTGAGGAGGTGATGGGGTGGTTGCCTGGCAACAATAAAAAGGCGCAACAAGTGTTATTTTACAAGTGTAGTTCAACTAAAAAATAAAAAGGCAGTGCAGTGCGCCTCGCGTTTTGCAACCTGTGTGATCAGAGCCTAAGGCAGAGTTGGGCAGGTCATGCCTTCATCATCCTAGCAAAAGAAAAGTCGCTCGCCGCTCACATGAATGACACACAGTTACTTTATCATACGGCTCTTCTAGACTCTCCACATGTTATTGGACCAAGTTAATCCAATTTTGACTGAATTTCAAGAGTCATTTCTAGAGTTTGTGGCTGTGAAAATAACTGTGACCGTTTTACAGCTGCTCCTTGTCTAGTGATTGTGTACTGAATTGTCAGACACGTTTGTCCAGAGCATTATATTGTTGAAAGAGATTCAGATTTCTTCAAATGGAAATTTTGTCCTAAAACTGGTCCTGTAGGAAAGAAGGACGACCAAAAGCACGGCTCATTCTGAGAGCACTGAATATCAACAGCAACATTCATGGAAATCTGACCAGTGGTTGTAGGGAGGTTTGTCTCTGGACACACAGACACCAGATGTGTTAAAACAACAGTATTACAGTACAGGTATCTTCAATCAGGGACAGGGGTGAGTTTGGATGGTCAGAAATGGTTTCTCTACTTCCTGTTCTTTAACAACCAGTCTGAACTCACCGAGCTCTGGAACATGCTGGCTTCATAGATCTTTCCCCAGGCGGCTTTCCCCCTCTGAATCTGAAGTGCGAGCACCACGATGACCACCACACAGATGAACAGCAGGACGCCCAGGGATGCACCGAGCGCTGCCATGTCCTCCACCCTGTAGCCACCTGACGGGACGGTCACTGCAGGGACAGAGGTCACCAAATATAGGTGTCACCAAAACACAGCTGAGTCTGAAACCCTGTCAGCATCCACTCTTAAATGTAACTGCAGTCTGTAATGTTCTGGTGTGTCAGATCTCTCTGTGAATGTGTGTTCAGCAGGTGGTGCCCTGTGATTGGTCCTTACGAAGGGATTGCTGCCTCTGGATCAGACCAATGGATGGCATCAGTCCTTCTAAACTCCAGCTGACAGTGAACTTCCCCTCCTCCACCTCCACCTCCACCTCCACCACATACAACAACAAGCCAGTGTTTAGTAGTTGTGTGTATTTTCATGAGAGATGTTTTGTAAGTAGTATATTCGTAGACGAACCATTTGGTAAGCGAGCACATTTTTGTGCTGAGAATTTCGCAACTTTAAGTTGTGTTTATGAACGCATGCCTTGCATATGAGTAGTTGTGCCCGCTCCACCAGTCATTACACCTGTCACACCTGTGTTGCATCAGTAAAGTTCTCCTACTACACCAAAACAGCTGTCATTATAGCCTGACTGCTACACACAGCTGTGGCTTTTTATAGTGTCCACTATTAATTCATCACATGTACCGTTAAATCAGGATTATCAAAGTTTGGTGACTGGCTGCCAATTTAGGAGCCAAAATATGATGCACAGGCAAAGTGCACACATAAAACAAATGATCGTCTCCGTCTCACTTCCAACATTAAACTGCCAAGCTATCCACAGAGATTCCTGACTTTAGCTAACAGCACTGACATTGATGACAGAACGTTACTCCCACAACACTCCCAAGGTTAGGGTTAGGGTTGGTCACCAGTTGCCAAGCAACCAGTAGCTTTCTGAACGATGAGGCAGGTCTGTTATTCCTGCAGCAGTCAGATTTCTTAATGAGGACTTTTCAATGTGGTCTGAGCTGCTGATTATGTCTCTTTTTATGGTCTTATTTATTTGTTGTATTTGAGGTGTGCTGTGAATGTTCTGTGTATGTTGTTTGTTGTCTGTACGAGTTGCTTCTGATGTCAAATGAGCGTCACCATTGTACATTAATAAAACTTTGTAATCTACAAGTTGTGATTCCTGATCTGACGGATTGTTAGGGGGCACAATTTGACATGGCAGCAGAGTTGTGTATTAAATATGGGCAGTGTACTGTGAGGTATTTTATGATGGACGTTTTTTATTAAACTTTGTTGGCATCCTGAACTGTGACTGTCTTAATAATTTTTTATCACATACAGAAATATAAAATTCTTAATGATATTTTCACCATTTTTATGACATACTATACTATGACTTTTTTTAATGATTTTTCATGACATGCTATACTATGACTTTTTTTCATGATTTTTCATGACATACTATACTATGACGTTTTTTGATAATTTATGACGACATACTATACTATGATGCATTTTCATGATTTTTGATGGTATACTATACTTCATCATTTTTTGATGACATCATAGTATAGCATGTCATCAAAAACCTTGAAAGAAACTCATAGTATAGTATGTCGTCAAAAATCATGAAAAAACGTCATATCGCATGTCGTCAAAAACCGTGAAAAAACATCATAGTATAATATGTCGTAAAAAATCATGACAAAATGTCATAGTATAGTATGTCATCTCAAGTCATCAAAAAATGTCATATTGTAGTATGTCGTCCAAAATCATGAAAAAATGTCACAGTATAGTATGTCATCAAAAATCATCAAAAATGTGATAGTATAGTATGCCGTCAAAAATCATGACAAAACGTCATAGTATAGTATGTCATCTCAAGTCATCAAAAAATGTCATATTGTAGTATGTCGTAAAAAATCATGACAAAACGTTATAGTAGAGTATGTCATGTAAAATCATGAAAAAATGTCATAGTATAGTACGCTGTCAAAAATCATCAAAAAATGTTATATTGTAGTATGTCTTCTAAAATCATGACAAAACGTCATAGTATAGTATGTCATGTAAAATCATGAAAAAATGTCATAGTATAGCATGTCGTCAAAAATCATGACAAAACGTCATAGTAGAGTATGTCGTCAAAAATCACTCAAAAACGTCATAGTATAGTATGTCGTCAAAAATCATGACAAAACGTCATAGTAGAGTATGTCGTAAAAAATCATGACAAAACGTCATAGTAGAGTATGTCATCTAAAATCATCAAAAAATGTCATAGTATAGTACGCCGTCAAAAATCATGAAAAAATGTCATAGTATAGTATGTCGTCAAAAATCATGAAAAAATGTCATAGTATAGCATGTCGACAAAAAAAAAGGTCATAGTATAGTATGTCATCAAAAATCACTAAAAAACATCATAGTATAGTATGTCATAAAAAATCATGAAAAAATGTCATAGTATAGTATGTCGTCAAAAATCACTAAAAAACATCATAGTATAGTATGTCATAAAAAATCATGAAAAAATGTCATAGTATAGTATGTTGTCAAAAATCACTAAAAAACATCATAGTATAGTATGTCATAAAAAATCATGAAAAAATGTCATAGTATAGTATGTTGTCAAAAATCACTAAAAAACATCATAGTATAGTATGTTGTCAAAAATCATGAAAAAACGTCATAGTATAGCATGTCGTCAAAAATCACTAAAAAACATCATAGTATAGTATGTTGTCAAAAATCATGAAAAAACGTCATAGTATATTATGTTGTCAAAAATCATGAAAAAATGTCATAGTATAGCATGTTGTCAAAAATCACGAAAAAACATCATAGTATAGTATGTCGTCAAAAATCACTAAAAAACGTCATAGTATAGCATGTCGTCAAAAATCATGAAAAAACATCATAGTATAGTATGCCGTCAAAAATCATGAAGAAATGTCATAGTATAGCATGTCGTCAAAAATCACCCAAAAACGTCATAGTATAGTATGTCGTCAAAAATCATGAAGAAACGTCATAGTATAGCATGTCGTCAAAAATCACTCAAAAACGTCATAGTATAGTATGTCGTCAAAAATCACTCAAAAACGTCATAGTATAGTATGTTGTCAAAAATCACCCAAAAACGTCATAGTATAGCATGTCGTCAAAAATCATGAAAAAACATCATAGTATAGTATGCCGTCAAAAATCATGAAGAAATGTCATAGTATAGTACGTCGTCAAAAATCATGAAGAAACGTCATAGTATAGTACGTCGTCAAAAATCATGAAGAAACGTCATAGTATAGTATGTCGTCAAAAATCATGAAAAAACGTCATAGTATAGCATGTCGTCAGAAATCATGAAAAAATGTCATAGTATAGTATGTCGTCAAAAATCATGAAAAAATGTCAAAGTATAGCATGTCGACAAAAAAAAAAGTCATAGTATAGTATGTCATCAAAAATCACTAAAAAACATCATAGTATAGTATGTCGTCAAAAATCACTAAAAAACATCATAGTATAGTATGTCGTCAAAAATCATGAAAAAACGTCATAGTATAGTATGTTGTCAAAAATCATGAAAAAATGTCATAGTATAGCATGTCGTCAAAAATCACTCAAAAACGTCATAGTATAGTATGTCGTCAAAAATCACCCAAAAACGTCATAGTATAGCATGTCGTCAAAAATCATGAAAAAACGTCATAGTATAGTATGTC